AGGTTGAGCGTCTGATTGAAGCAGTGGATGATCTGGACACACTGGACAACTGCAGCGCTCTTCTCTCACAACTTCAATGAACGAACACACAAAGTGATTTTCTGAAAAAGTGAAATCTTGTAAATACAGCATTCATGTCAAAATGATCACATTGCTGAATCATCAGTCTGTGTTTCATGTTCATGGCAAATGTTTTGCAGACATTACAGCTGAAACATTTTCTGTGTCTTTCCACATCCTGATGTATAAAATATTTTTTTTAGTCATTAGTTTACACATGTCAAGCAAGTAAAATGTAAAAAACAAACAAGAAATGATGGCTGTAATATTTAAAATTATATTTGTGGTGGATGAATCAGAGCAAAAACTGTACAAATATTTTTTTATGCTCTGTCAGTGTGTGAATGATAACAATGCAAAGGGTTTTATAGAATCTGGACAGAAAAAGTGCTGCATGAATTATCTATGTATCTATTTATGCTAACATTTTATTCTAAACTATGTTGTGTTTTTTTCACAAGGAACATATTCTCATGTGTAAAAACAAATTATTGATAAATGTAACAAAAAGTTCAATAAAATCACAGTCATCAAAAATGGTTGCTATGTGTAGTTTTTATTATTGTTTATTTAATCAATAATATTTTCCCCATCCCTTTGAGACACTTTTAAATTATTGTTCTTTTCTTTTATTTAACCTAAAAACTCATATTTGAGGCCTCCTGAATGAAAAACATATAAAAATCCTTCTACAGTTCCTAACCATCACCAAATGTAAGTTTTTAAACATTAGATAAGTTCTTCCTGACTGTTTTTTGTTGCTTTCTGACTCAGATTGAGCAGAACATGTTTCTTTTTACCCTCCTCAAAGAAACAGCATGGCAGGACGGTGGCACAGTTGATGGAGGTGCTGCCTTTCTGGATGGAGTTTCCATGTTCTCTCCGTGCATGTGTGGGTTTTCTCTGAACACTCCAGTTTCAATTCAATTCAAAAATACTTTATTAATCCCAGAGGGAAATTAAATGTTGTGGTAACTCATCGTCTTGGATTCATTAAAAAGTTGTTCTAGATGCTGATGCTGTGGGCAGGAAGGATCTCTTGTAATCGTCCGTCTTACAGCAGATCTGAAGAAGCCTCTGACTGAAGACACTCTGTTGTTGTATGACAGTCTGATGAAGAGGATGCTGACGGTTGTCTATAATGTTCTTCATTTTATGAAGAATCCTCTTTTGTACAATCATCTCCAAAGGTTCTAGAGGAGTCCCCAGAACTGAGCCAGCCTTCTTTATGAGCTTGTTGATCTTTTTTAAGTCACTTGCTCTGGTGCTGCTCCCCCAGCAGATGATGGCAGAAGAGATAACGCTCTCTACAACAGACTTATAGAAGATATGCAGCATCTTACTGCAAACCTTGAAGGACTTCAGCTTCCTCAAGAAGTACAGTCATCCCACAGACCAAAAACATGCATGTTAGGATGATTAGTAACTCTAAATTGTCTCTAGATGTGAGTGAGAGAGTGAATGGTTTGTCTCATTTGTTTCTATGTGTCCATGTGATGGACAGGAGACCTGTCCAGGGTGTACCTCGCTTCTCGTACAGTGATGGCTGGACATGGGCACCAGAAACACCCACGACCTGAAAAGGAAGAAGCAGGTAAAGATGATGGATGGATGGAAATTATCAGCTTGAGGGGTCTCATCAGCTGTTCTGAACAAAGCTGTGCAAGTATCTTAGTTGTTGAGGCGCCATGTTTTATGGGTTATTCTGAAGATGAGTCTCATGTCTAAACACACAACTATGTTCACAAAACTCAACATCTCATATTTTCTGAGTATTGTTACGACCCCAGTCTACATGTGCTTTGTGGACTTGGAGAAGGTGTTCAGCCATGTTTCTCAGGGTACACTGTTGGGGGTTCTCTGTGAATATGGGACTGAGGTTCAGTTGCTACAGGCTGCTCTGCTGTGCATGTTTCATGTTCCACAGGTGATTGGAGCTAAATGACACATGAAGACAGCTGGCCAGAATCTCCAGTAGAGTTCATGTAAACACTACCTCCATATTTCTTTAGTTACATTAATTTAGGTTAAGTTTAAATTAAAGCATTTTAATCTAAACCTGCAGGCTGCTCCTTTGTTGTTGTGGTCTTTGAGCCAGGTCTTATCAGTCTGTGAAGTAAACACAGCAGAGATTCATGATCCAGGTTTGATTCCAAACTGATCTGACTGGATGTGAAGTTATCAGACTTGTTTTGAACTTCACAATAACATCCAGAGATCTGGGATATTATTAATAGACATGTTCATTTCTAAAATATTATATATGAAGATATTGATAGAAGACAAATCATGGGTCATGTGCCTGGATGATATGAAATGTTTACAAAAGATAAGAAAAAGTAATATTATCAAAAGATAAAGATTATTAGATTAAATAGCGTACTTGCACTTGATACATACAGTAATTTGTTTAAACAGAAGCATCTGCTTTTGTAAAGTACAAAGTTGTTTACTTTAAATAATGCATTTAAAAGTAGTTCCAAAGTGTGACGCAAAATTATACTCTTAAATAAAAATCTAAGTTTTTTCTAAGTGCTGTTTTATGCTAATTTCAGCAGAAAAAAAAAGTTTTCCTTCTTTAGTACAAACAGGATCTAATGAGAGTTTTTGCCCAGTTTAATGTTGGTTTGTCCATCCATCCATCCATCCATTTTCTTTACCCGTTTATTCCATTTTGGGTCACGGGGGTTGCCGGTGCCCATGTCCAGCAATCACTGTGCGAGGGGCGGGGTACACCCATGACGGGTCGCAAGTCCATCACAGGGACACATAGAGACAAACAACCATTCACTCTCTCACTCACACCTAGGGACAATTTAGAGTTACCAATCAACCTAACATGCATGTTTTTGGTCTGTGGGAGGAAACCGGAGCACCCAGAGAAAACCCACGCATGCACGGAGAGAACATGCAAACTCCACCCAGAAAGGCCCCCGGACCGGGATTTGAACCAGGGACCTGCTCGCTGAGAGGCAGCAGCTCTACCAGTTGCGCCACCGTGCTGCCATGTTGGTTTGTGATAAATTTTATAGAAAAATAAAATACTCCACAGAGAAACTCTACTACACTGAAGCAGCCCCCACCCCTTATATTGTAAGTGAATATGTCTTTACTCTTTAAAAGTCCACAGTTTCCTCAGTAGAAACATCTTCTGCTGCTCTGTAGCACAAAGTTCATGAGGTGGATCCAGATCTCTAGACTAGTCACACCCACATATTTGTTTAATGGAGTTTGGTTTGTGGCTCCATTATAACTTGTCCATAGTAGCTTTAAATATAACTTCCTGGTTTTGTTGTATCAAGAAGAGGACAAGTCTGTCTCACGTCTGAATTCTGTTTAATAAAACCAATGATTTAATTCAGAAATTATCCTGCTGAACACTTGGGAACAAATTTAACCAGTTCCTTTTATTTCACTAAATAATTGATATCTTTGATAAGAGACGGGTTAATATAAAACTGTATTAATACTGAAACAGAAGAAACTAAAAGTAATTCTTCCTCCTAATAATAAAATACTCTGAATATTCACTTGGTTTCTGGTTCACACCTTACGAGATTAAAATATTAATTTGCTCATGCTTTTTGGAAGAGCTTAAGAAATTAATATTTTATAATTTAACAAAATGGTGGCATTTTTCTAAATTGTTATCATCTGTTTTTCTTTGTTTCGTTGTTGTTGTTGGGTGTTTACTTTTTATTCCTGGTATTTATTTATTGTCTGGAGGTACTGCAGATGAAAATTAGCTAAAGGATAAATCTGGTGCAGTTCATCGAACATTTTTACATTTATGTTATAATTTTAAACTGTCCTATTTACAATAAGTTAATCGAAATCGAGATTGAAGTTTATTCCAGTTTTTTATAAATCACACAATCTAAACTTGCTCTGATTGTATTTGAATTAATCATACATTTTTTTTACAGTTTTTAATATTAGCAAATATGTTATAAACATTTTATTAAAGACATTTCATAAACCAAAGTGAAATGATTACTTTTTGCTTTCTGATTACTTGTCAAACAGGAAGTTTATATTACAAAGTAGATTTGTCAGAAGGAGTACATGCATATTTCTACAAAACAACCTGAGGGACCAGTTTTCCAAGACACACCAGATTCCTACTTTCACTTCAACATTATCACGTTGATTGATAGGCAAGTACCGTACAGAAGGGAAAGTAAAGGGAAAGTTTGGAAAGTTGTAATAAATAGTAAGTATCTTTCCTGCATGAAAACAAAATCATAAAACAAAGTAAATATAGTGAACACAATTTATTGTGTACATTTTATTATACATGTACATTTAACATTGAACATTTGATATGAGCAACAGGAAATGTATCATATTTGCAGCATATTTTATTTCCCAGAGCAGAGGAACTGAAAGCAAGAGACTCAACTCAAGAAAAATGTTTTTTAAAAAATGAACAGTGATGACTCAGCAGGAAACACAGATCTGTAGAGGATGGAGAACGATGAAATCCTCAAAAATCTTCTTTCTATGGTGTGACTAAACATTTTTTAACCTCCTCCATTATCATATTATCCCCATTTATCACGTTTTTGTACACAAACAACATATATAAAGGAAATAAAAATGACAATAATACCAATAAACAAACTTATCAAAATCCTGATGTATGAATTCCTTCATGTTGAACTGTGACTGATCAACAACGATGAATGTGTTCTTGTTTCACCTCTTTTCTGCTTATCATAAACCCTCTCACTTGTACTAACTGTGTCTCGGGGTTTTCATTGTTTTGTAATTGACATGACTTCATTTTCTTCCTTTCATTGTTGCCTGTTTGACAGTTTTGTTGACATTTGGTGCCAACAGATCCTTCACCTTTGTCAGACGACGTCAGAGGCAGATTCCAGTCGATGATTTTGGTTTAGTTGTTTCCCTCCTGTAGCAATACTCTTATTTGTTAACACTGATGTCTAACAAAGAGCCTTATTTTAGCATCACAATGACGAGTCTCTGTCCAAATGACCAGAGAGAGACAATCTGACCATTAATTATTTATTTATCAGGGTATTAAAATGCAAAACATCAGAGAACCAGACGTTAAGTAGATACGTATATCATCGTGTTGTTAATCATATTACAAATATATATTTTCATACAGTCTGTTTGTGCTCGGAAATAGTATTAGGTGTGACTCTTTGCTACTACCACCCCATATTTTACAAGTACACAATTCCGTTCCACCTCATGTACCACATGTGATGCAGCAGCTCTGCCAACTGCCCCACCGTGCTGCCCAGGAGGGTAACAATGGTCTTGAATTTCCTCCATTTGTACACAATCTGTCTGACTGTGGTGGAGTCCAAACTCTTTAAAAAATTGTTTTTAACCTTTTTCAGACTGAGGAGCATCAAAACTATTTTTCAAAGTTCCTCAGAAATCTGCTTTTTTCCTGCCATGATACACTTTCACAAACATGTTGTGAAGATCAGACTTTAATAGATCCCAGTTTTTTTAATCTAACAGAGCGCCCACTCACACCTGATCCTGATCCCATTGACTGAAAACACCCGACTCAATTTCACCTTCAAATTAACAGCTAATCCAAGATGATCACATACTTTTTGAAAATCACAAATTTGTAATATTGGATCATTTCCCTCAATAACTAAATAAATTAGTATAAAGTATATATATTTGTTGTCTAATGCGTTTAACTGGGTTCAATTTATCTAATTGTAGGACTTCTAATCTACTTCGTAATCTAATGATGGTTTAGGTCATATTTATGCATACATATAGAAACTTCTAAAGAATTCACAAACTTTCAAGCACCGCTGTATAACATCGCACTAAAAATACACATTTATTAATTATCGTGACATAAATGTTTAGATAAAACAAAGGAAATAAACAATGAAATTGCTCGTCTTTGACACAGAAACATACTTCATAGGAATAAATACCAGGAAGAACAAGTTCACTTAGTTCACTCAGTGTTCCTCCTCCTAGTGTTCGGCTCCTGTCTCACCTGTGTCCTATCCCAGTCACCACAGGTGGTTGTTGTTCGTCCTCATTAGTGTCTCTATTTATTCTGATTTCTTGTGTTTTGTCATTTGTCTCTGGATTGTCCTTCCTATATATGTTGTGATCTATCTCCCTCCATGTTTTCCTTAAAGTAAGGTAGCTGCCCCGTCAGCATCTCGTGTTGCTTATTGATAATAAACTTTATTACTTGTTTTACCTGTTGTCTTCAGTGGCCTTCTTGCACATGGGTTCAACAAGATTCAAACCAGATCATGATAGAATGTTTTTATTGTTTAATTGGTTCTATTGTGGTTCTATTATTATTGGTTCTATCACCCTATTATTCTACACCTCACAAGAGTGTCTACATTTCTATCTCCCTTAATGCGGCCCGAACCACAGCGTCTACCCCCACAAAAGTTATATCAAAACGACTGGCTCGGCCCCGTGATGTGTGCTATTACTTTTGTTGGCATTTCGAGTTAGCGAGGCAACGTACTTTGCGAACAAAGACGCAATATTTCACCAAATCCAGGAACTAGTTGGTGATTGCCAACTTATTAATCTACACCTGAAAAGCGTTTCTTTTTCAACTTTAATGTGGCCTGAACCACAACATGGACCCCCACAAAAGTTATATCAAAACGACCGGCCCGGCTCCGGGAAGTGTGCAATTACTTTCATCACAGTTACCATGGCGACATATTTTGCTAACAAAAATGCCAAATTTTCCACAGGAAATGAATAGGAGAAAACTCTTCACTGAAACTGAGTAACATATGGATCCATTTTGGTTCAACATGCAAGGAAGGCACCTATTATTGCCTATTATCAACTATTGTTATTATGTATAAGTAATAATAATAATAAATATTATTATAAAGTATTAATGTTAATAATAATTTATTTTAATATCAATAATTATTAATATTAATAAGTAATATTTAATATTAATAACATGTATTTGTGTGAATATTATTAATATTGATTATTAATATATTTAACAATAACCTATAAAATAATGATATATTAATAATTATTATTAATCATTAATATTAATATTTATTATTAATAATAATTTAATAATAAATAGTCAGTCCCCGTCAAAGTTTCTTCAGGAACTTTCTAGTTTTTAATATGTTGTTTTCTGTTTCTTGTTACAACAGATATTATTCCAGTGGATCATTAACCTATAAGCACTTTGGTATGCTGTTTTAAATGTGCTTTATAAATGAAATGGACTTGACTACATGATATCATGTCAATTAAACTGAATATTCCTATTCAGTTTTCTTTTTCTGTGGAAACAAACTTTTCTGTTGTGAACCAACATCTAACAATAGGACTTCATTAATTTCTGAGAACACTGATGAGTCTCTGAACAAAGTGACATATATCCATTCTTACTATGAAGAAATTATAATTAGTCATGGGGTTACACTGTTTGTGTTTATATGTGTGTGTGTGTGTGTGTGTGTGTGTGGGGGGGGGGGGGCATTAATTATAAGCCAATAGGAACACTTTCTGTATATTTTTGTCTATAAATATGAACTTGTCATATTTTAATACTAAGGTAGGGATGTCGGCTAGAATAGTTAATTATTCCTAACTAACTGATGTTATTCTGAATGAATGAAGGACTGTGACATAATTCATCTTCCATTCAAAATATATCTAGAGTCTTTTGTTTGTTGTCAGTTTAGTATTTTATTTTAGATTTTTTTTTCTGTCTCACTTGCCATCACCTCAACAAAGTTCAATTTATTATAAACCTGTCAGAAAATTAACAATTTGTAAAATCATAATAATTGTAGATTTAAACTAATACTAGCAGCCTGGTATGACATTAGAGTAACTTTCTTTTTTTTTTTTTTTTAAAGAATATTTGCAATTTTTTTATTTAACATTCGGTGAGGGGCGAAAATAGCTTCACAACTTTAGAAAATGTACTATGCATTTTATTTACGTTTATGCAGTATTTTTTACAAACTGGATTATAGACTTCATGTTTGTTTTTTATAATGTAGAGATCTTTTTTAAATCATGTAAAATAGAGTAAAAGCTTAAAGTTGAACATGTTTTAAATGTTTTCTTTTTAACCTTTTTAAGTGTACAGAAACAAAGGCAAATATCTTCCGTATGTGACATCAGTTTAAGTACTTCCTTATGAACAAAGACGTTGTAAAGTTCATTCCTCTAGGCCAATTTTTCAGCCTGCATGAAGGATAGTTTCAGCAAAGTTAAAGGTTTGTATCATTGATTGTTTTGAAAGGTCTTTCATCATCTGTGTTGTGTAGGTTTAAAACACACATATGACGTGAATTGTAAGGAAAAGCCCAACAGCACAGATTTACAATAGATAAAATCTCTCTCACTCCTCTTTTGTATATGCTTAAACCTGTTCAGTGTTGTAAAAGTTTTTTCCAGCAGTCAGTGGTCAAACGTCACGTCACTTCCTGGACTGATGGAGACAGTTCATTACAGTCAGCGCAGAGACTCACAACCCTACATGAACACATTCACACATAAAGATCTCCAGTGAAGTTGATGTGCATGTTGTACTGTGGTAGACAACTGGAGCATCCGGTGAAAACTCATAAACACGTGTCTATTTAGAACATTACCTAAAAAAAGATGAAAAAAATTGATTGTTAACTCTCAGAAATTGAATAACTGATTAACTCACAGAGTCAACCTCCTTCAAGATGGCCGTCACAGCTAAGTGACCTTAGCTAACATAAAAATGGCTAAGACTCGATCAATTTTACAAATATTGATTCAAAATTTGGTGAGTCAGTAGCTGAGAGTCATTCCCTCAGCCCTAACCAACAGTGCCAAAATTGTTTTAAAACTTTGTCATTAAATATTAAATTTAAAAATAGTTTTAAGGCTGTTACTTGTACAGATGTTGAGCTAAACTTTGATGTGGTAGTAGCTGTGAGTGATTCCAAACACATTCTCTGAGCACTAACAGGATTAAACACTTGATCTTGTCATGTTGTGACAAAATTGTAAAATTTGACCAAAAAAAGCTAAAACTCTAAATTAATTTAATTTAATTTTTTTTCTGTCTTCTCTAATTTAAACTCTAATTTTTCATCCATAAACATAATCCCAATGAAATAATAAAGGACCACCTGTTTACAAACAGATAATGTTCAAAATTCAACTTGATCATCTTCAACAGCTGTTTTTCTTTGTTCAAACTGGTCAGAAGATACATGCCAGCAAGGTTTAGCCTCACTTTATAAACTTTTCTTCAGTTTCACCTTGATTAAACACACTTCACCTTGTGGTCTTTTGTCTTTAGTTGACACCAATAAAACATTAAAGTTATTTCCACATTTAATGTGTTCTTAATGACACTCCTATTCTCTGTGATGTGGTTTTAAACTGATGATTGTGAACAGAGCACTGCTGTCTCTTCCTGCTGATACAATTCTTTATTTTAACGCTTTTGTACGTTATAATAAAGAGAGATACCAGGATAGGAC